CTTTGAATTTTTCCCGGCAGAGGCTGAAATTCCCTTTGCCCACCAGAGTTACGTTGGCTGAAGATGCGGTTGAGGGCAGAGGCTTGACGCACGGATTGCCAGAGAGGGACGCCGCCAGTACCGTCTCTTTGTAACCTTTTGGGTAGCAGGGGTGAGCCACCTCAACGCTGGTCCCGCCATCCTAAAAGCAACGTTCATCAATTCTTAGGCACACTGCACGAGTCAAAAAGTGGGCTGTGAAAATATCTAGAGCTCTCGCATCCTGGACATAAATTGCTTCAACTCCTTCCCTCAAAATGACACTATAGGGCCCTGCACACCAAGACAACTAGACACAAGGACAGTTTTTCCCTGAATGCCATCACTCTGCTCAACAATAATTCCCTCAACACTGAAATTATCTACTAAGATTGTATTACTATTATTCTTCTCTTCCTTCCTAGTAACTTTCTCCTCCCACTTATGACTATAACCATGTTGCTTGTATCTTTACAATTTTATATTGTTTTATTTCTTTCCTAGTAAATTTGATTGCTTATTAGTAACCTTGACTATCACCTAAGTGTTGTATCTTATGATTCCTGATGAATGTATTGTATTTTATTTTTCTTTATGTACACTGAGAGCATCTGCACCAAAGGCAAATTCCTTGCGTGTCCAATCACACTTGGCCAATAAAGAATTCTATTCTATTCTATTCTATTTTATTCTATTCTATTCTATTCTGTTCTGTTCCATTCTATTCTATTCTGTATTTTATTATTCTATTATATTCTGTTCTGTTCTATCTATTCTATTCCGTATTTTATTATTCTATTATATTCTGTATTTTATTATTCTATTATATTCCGTATTTTATTATTCTATTCTATTCTGTTCTATCTATCCTATTCTGTATTTTATTATTCTATTCTGTTCTGTATTTTATTATTCTATTCTATTCTGTTTATTCTATTCTATTCTGTATTTTATTATTCTATTCCATTCTGTTCTATTCTATTCTGTATTTTATTATTCTATTCTATATTTTATTATTCTATTCTATTATGTTCTATTCTATTCTGTATTTTATTATTCTATTCTATTCTGTTCTATTCTGTATTTTATTATTCTATTCTAGTCTGTTCTGTTCCATTCCATTCATAATTTCTATTCTGTTCTGTTCTACTCCTGGTGGCTTCCAAGCCACCCTTGGGTCCACTTACAAGAATCAACCGGATCAACCGTTGGAAGGCCTGGTTTTGGCCATAGCAGAGGTAGCTGTGGCTATAGATGGTGTAGTTANACACAAGCAATTAGTTTCCTATCAGCCAGACAAGCCCAGACAGACTGCTTAAGTTTACTTCTCAGAGCAGCAGACCGGCTTAAGTTTCTGTTTCAATTCTCTGCACAGACTCAGATCAGTGTAAGCACCCACTGGCTGACTTAGTTGCTATGCCTATTCATTGGCTGACCTTGTTCCCATGTCTCTCCCAGCCACGAATATTTTAACAGGTGTTCCTTCTCAAGTGATCCCTCCCCCCCTCACCTGATCTTCACCATGAATCTGTTCTGTTTCCACAGTGAATGGGGAATGGCTGGAAGGCCGATGCAATGGAATGACGGGTATTTTCCCTAAACTCTTCGCGATGCCTGAACGCCCGGTGGTCACCCACTTTTAGAGGAGGAAGAAAAAAAAGGTCTCATTTGCTGACACTGAGACTCAGTTTCCTTGCTGTTGATGAGATATGACGTTGGGAAGTGTGGGGGGGGTGCTCTCTGAACTTGCTTGTTTTCTTGCAAATGTTTCATGACCCAACTAGGCTACCTCATCAGTTCTAGGAGGAGGAGGAGGAGGGGGGGGAGGGGGAGGAATAGTTAGATGGCTTTGGTGATCTCTGTGCTTGCTGGTTTTCTTACAGACATTTCATGACCCAACTAGGTACCATCATCAGTGCTAGAAGGCAGTGGGGGTTTGTTCTCTTATACCACTCAAAGGAGATAATTACAAATCCATTTGGAATTTTCAGACTGCGCCAATGGAAATGAATATTGGCAGCTCAGGTTTGAACTGGATTTGGTGCTGTCTGGTTTGATGGCTTTCTTGCAGGCGTTTCACGACCCAACTAGGTATCACCATCAGTGCTAAGGGTTGGAGAGTGGGTTTTCTATCTTAGAAAATGCCACCATGTGCCATTTTGGGCATGCATGTAATAGGTTCGCCACAACCGTGCTAGAAGATATTCTAGAAGACATGCTAAGAAGGAAATGAAGAGATTTCACTGTATAATGTATTATAATTTATGGAAGAATATTGCACAGATATTTGTGCCCAGGCGATACACTGCTTAAGGAAAGATGGAATGTATGTGTTTTAAAATTGAAAAATAAAAAAAAACTTTTCTAAAAAAGATGTTTCCTTCTTAAACGGCATCCTGTTTTTCTCCTCGTCGAAACGTGTTTTTTTTTCCTATCGGGGACGTCTCATCGTACAGAAGTTTGAAGATGTCACACACCCACGCAGGCGCACACCCACACCCACACCCAGCGCACCGCCAGCTCGACAATTTGGCGGCTGACAGGTTCAATAAATAAGAAGCAAAAACGAAAAAGGGCTTCTGAACGAACAGCCGAGGTCCCAAGGCTGAAGAGAGATGGAAGGGGACGGGAGTTGTTGGGTTGATGTTCTCCACGGGAGCATCTTCTGCCTCGTGCCAAAAGGGGCAGAGATGGATGAGGTAGGAAGTGCGCGTGGCCTTGGAGTGTCGTCCTCCCAAGCAAGGGACGGTGGAGGCGATAAAAGTCCCCTCGGGGCATCTCTCACAGCACAGAATGCAAGACGAGTATGAGAAGACAGAGAGCCAGAGTGGCCACGATGAAGAAGATGCTTGCAATCCAAAAGGCTTCCTCGTGACCCTTGAGCAATGGAGGGGCTTCAGCCGGGATCATGTTGGTGAGGTTCAGCATGTAGCCCAGGGTCCATCCGATGTCTGAATTGGCCGCCTGTGGGGAAAGAGAGAGGGGGGGGGAGTGGGAAACTTTGAGACTAGGTCAGAGAAGAATAAGAAGAACAGAGAAGAAGAATGGAATAGAGCTGGAAGGGACCTTGGAGGTCTTCTAGTCCAGCCCCCTGCTCAAGCAGGAGATCCTATACCAGGGATGGCTAATCTTTTTTCTCCTCGTGTGCCGAATTCTATTCTATTCTATTTCTAATTTCTATTTCTATTTCTACTTTATATTTTTACTCTACTCTACTCTATTCTATTTTTACTCTATTTTCTATTCTATTCTATTCCTAATTTCTATTCTATTCCTATTTCTACTCTATTCTATTTTTGCTCTACTCCCTATTCTATTCTATTCTATTCCTAATTTCTATTCTATTTCTATTTCTACTCTACTCTATTTTTATTCCCTATTCTATTCTATTGCTAATTTCTATTCTACTCTATTCTTCTATCTCTATTCTATTTTTTACTCTATTCCCTATTCTATTCTATTCTATTCCTAATTTCTATTCTTTTCTGTTCTATTTCTATTTCTACTCTATTCCATTTTTACTCTATTCCCTATTCTATTCTA